TATAAATATAAAATATATATAATGGAATATTACTCAGCCATATAAAAGGATGAAATCATGCCATCTGGGACAACATGGATGGACCAACAACGTATTGTGATAAGTGAAATAAGTCAGACTGAGAAAGGCAAATACCATATGATTTCACTTGTATGTGGACTCCAAACAGAAAATGAATAAAATAAAGAGCAGAATCAGACCTGCAAATACAGAGAACTAATGGTTGCCCAGGGGGAGGAGGTGGGGCGACGGGCAACATGGGTGAAAGAGAGTAGGAGATACGGGCTTCCAGTTGGGGGGTAAGTCACAGGAATAAAAGGCACAGCCTAAGGAATAGAGTCCAAGATACTATAAAAGTGTTGTATGGTGACAGATGTTAGCCGCACTTGTGGTGAGCCTGGGAGAACATATAGACTTGTGGAATCACTATGTTGTACACCTGAAACGAATACAACATTGTGTGTCGACTATGTTCAAATAAAAAATTAAAAAAATAATAAAATGTGTTAAGTCTCCTAAAAAACGTGCTTGGAAACATTTTTTCTCTGAGAACATCCATTACTTTTTCCAAGAAAGGACAAAACACTTAAGGGTTATAGAATATAGTAAGCTGTTTGTAATTTCAACTTCTATGTAATAAAATATTAAGAAAACACTTTTTTTTTTTTCCAACGTTTATTTATTTTTTTTGGGAAAGAGAGAGACAGAGCATGAACGGGCAAGGGGCAGAGAGAGAGGGAGACACAGAATCAGAAACAGGCTCCAGGCTCTGAGCCATCAGCCCAGAGCCCGACGCGGGGCTCGAACTCACGGACCGCGAGATCGTGACCTGGCTGAAGTCGGACGCTTAACCGACTGCGCCACCCAGGCGCCCAAGAAAACACATTTAAAAAACACTGGAAAACAAAGAAGCAGCACTGTTTGCTTTCAACTTAGAAGATAATTCTTAGTCCAGGAGAGAAATCAAATGTATTCTTAATATTGTGCCCAAATGCATCTGGACAGTACCAGAAGAAATCAGTAAAGGTACTGCCTATTTTCAGATAATATTCCATATGTGTAAAACTTTGAACATCACACCCATCCCTTATGAATAATTTTATAACAATTTTAAACTCAAATTTAAAAGCCCCTGAATAAGCATCATCATCCAGCAATAAAGGCTTATTCAAGCAAGAAAATAAAATGATGGGAAGTCAAACAAAAAAGCATTTGGTTATAATAGTGCCTATTGCCTTACTGGATATTCACACTCAGGATAAAAATCATTACTCTGCCGTTGGCTAGATTTTCTTTTACAAGTGAATATAATCACTGTCAACACACACACACTTATAGCTCCGACCACAGGAGTGACCAAGTGAAACAGGGAGACTTCATTTTGTAAAAACATTAATTCTAAAAAGCTTTTAGTTTGCAATCAAATGTGCTGGCCAAAATCTAACTGAGAACCTGGTGGAAAAACTGAAGCTCTGAACAGTAAATGCTTGTGGTACACATGGCAGTACTGACCTTGTAAGCCTGCGTAAGCATGTGGATGACGCCCGGGGCACCGTGGCACCAGTGGACCAAGCGATCGGTCTCATTGCTTAACGACGAAGGGTAATTCCCAGATCGGAATCTCTTGTGGCGCACGTAATCAATACTAGGTTTCACCATTTCTGTCAAGGTCTCTTGGTCCACTTTTGCTGCTGGCTTTAAACAAATAAAAACAAAACATTTAATTTCTTTTTCCTTATGTGTTTTTTAAGCCTTTGTACTGTAGCTAGTATAATAAAGCATCGATTACCTGGAATACTGAGGAGCATCTAAAATTAAAATTAATTCAATTATCTGGTTATTTAAGACTTGGATAGACCTTTTGTTTCAAATTTTTTGATGTTGAAGACAGTCCGAAGGCCATCTGCTGGAGAATTCCCTCTCGCTCAGGGTAGGCCTTCACCTGACTGAATGAGGCCCACCCACACTGCGGAGGGCAAACTTCTTTACTAGAAGAAGTCCATGCATTCGTAAGAGTGCCAACAACACCGACTCCATCTTGTTCACGTTTGCTCAGGGACCTCTCTTGTGGCTGTGTATTCTGGGCCACTTGGAGATTAATATACATGCCTTAGAAATAACTGCTGCGGCAAGGATGGGGGAAGCCTGTTTTGGCCTCCCAGGAGTCTGTCAGAGATAACACAGTCTTTCCCCTTCCTGATGCACAGGTGTGGCCCTGAGATCTCACTAAAGGGTAGCTGCCCATCAGGTGTGTGCAAGCCCTTTGAGGTGTGTGCAAACCCTCTGATCTCACTGCAACACTCTTCTGCATGTCCCCTCCCTCCACAAAATCTACGGACTAAGGTCTGGACTTTGCAGAAAATAATTATGCAGGTGCCATGGATCATCCCCTACTGACACTCCCCCCCACCCACCCCGACCCTCGTCAGTAATGTACCCTGAAGAAAAGTCTGTGTAAACTCCATGGAGTGGCCTACTTTGTTTTCTGCCTTCTCAGTTGGGGGGTACTTTACCATCCCTCCCCTTACGTTCTAACACCATTCAATTTTTTTTAATGTTTATTTATTTTTGAGAGACAGAGAGAGAGAGAGAGAGAGTGAGTGAGTGAGAGAGGGGCAGAGAGAAAGGGAGACACAGAATTTGAGCCAGATGTGGGGCTCGAACTCATAAATGGTGAGATCATGACCCGAACCGAAGTCGATGCTTAACCAACTGAGCCACCCAGGCGCCCCTACACCATTTAAATGTAAATCTCACCCCAAATACCCTCATAGAAACATCCAGAAGAATGTCTGACCACATACCTGGACACTTTGGCCCAGCCAAACTGAAACACAGTATTAACCATCAGAGACAGCTAGCTAACATTTTTAGTGGGAACTTTGAAACACCTGTATCTGTAGACCTTTACGTGAGCGGTTTCTCCAAAAACAACCAAAACATCCCACTTCAACCCCCCTCGTGAGGTGAAGGCAGTGATGACAACGGGTAAGAGAGGCTGTAGTGCGTGATGCTGGCCGTGGGGACAGGGAGGTCTCCCCTCACACCCTGAAGACATCCAGCCAAGCCTCCTGTGTTCAGTTCTACGCTTCACTTCAACTGTCCTCTACACCGGCTTTCTTGAATTGAAAGATCTGGTTCGGTTTCTCCAGGCCATTTCCTTTTGTCTCCAGTAGGAGTTAGGGGAGGGCCAGTCACTGTGCAGGGTGATCTTATCGGCAGAAGTCCAACTGTATAAAGTTTTCAAAGAAGCCCCCTCGCTGCCCAAACACCATGCCCCACACGAACAGGTCTCTCGGTCTTTGATAGTAACAGCACATTAAGTTCCTGAGTGCTGGGTTTTACAGGACAAACCAGCTTGCTTCTTGCTGGCATCCTCTTCTTCAGACACCTATGTGTGATCTTGCTCTGTCCTGCCTGGTCACCTGCCATTCTTTCATCTACTCTCAGTCTACACATTTGTAGTCTGGGGCTCCAGATGTATCCTAGTCTCATCAAGGAAGTTAGGTTTCTGGTTTATTGTTGTCCTTGCTGTTTTGGGATGATTTTCAAGAGGAGAAATGTGTTTATTCTGCCATCTTGAAAGTGGAGTTTCAGTCATGTTTTAAAAGTTTTTTGTGTGTACTGTTGTGACAGCCTTCCAAATGAAACTGCATGGGAGAACCTTCCACTGCCACACTGACCCACGGCTGCACGGTAGACTGACACTAAACGCAGGAGTGGTGGGGGAAGAGCCGCGTGTACCTGGCCCTTGTGAGCGAGCTTTGGCACACGGATGCTTAAGAGATTGCTACAAGAAAACCGACACTGATTTCCATACAGAATTCTGGGTAAATAATGGTGCCATGTTCTTCACTTTAAAAGCAGACAAGGGGACAATTTTGTGACCTGTGTTTCTCTCAAGGAAACCCTTATTATCTAACAAAATTAACCTAGACACCTCAATCTAAACTAAGTGATGTCTTATTGGTGTGGTTTTCATATGGTTATGATTCCCATAAGGGTGTCACTTAAGAAGAAAAGTTTCAAAAGCTAGTGTCAAAACATTTTTCTGGGGAAACAGAAAACACACACAAATCACCAACTTCCCAGAATAGCAGTGCTATTTTTAAATGAAATGCAATTCTAGTTACTTTGGAAACACGTGTCTGCACTATAAAGAAAATTCACAAATTGGAGTATATGTTTTATTTTTCTAGAATAAACAACGACAACTAGTTACCAGAAAATGGGGGTTTAGCCCTGTTTAAATATGAATTTCCTTTAGTGATAAAGTTTTTGAAAAAAAATTTTTTAATTTTTGAGAAAAAGAATAGTGTCAGCAGGGGAGGGGCAAAGGGAGTGGGAAACATAGAATCTGAAGCAGGGCTCCAGGCTCCAAGCTGTCAGCATAGAGCCCGACATGGGGCTCGAACTCACAAACTGTGTGATCATGACCTGAGCCAAAGTTGGACGCTTAACCGACTGAGCCACCAGGTGCCCCATGATGGAGTAGGCTTTCAAAAAGGATGTGAAGTAAAATTTTTAAAAAGAAGTATAAAGATTTTTAGTTAAAAAGATCTAAATTCTAATAATCCATGCTCCTTGACTTACCAGCTTCACGATTTTCAGCATTAATTAACTACTCTTTTATGGGTGTGGTAGATAAAGAAAGGTTTAATTAAAGAAAAAAAAGTAGGCTGTGTCTACAGTGGGGAAGGGAGGTCCAGGCCATGGGGCTGGAAGCAGGTTGAAGCAATATTTGGGGTGGGGTCTCTGCCTGCCTAATGGAAGTATTTAATTCAGCAGATGTCACGGATGATTGAGAGACCAGATCATCGCGACAACGGTAAACTAGTTGAAAATTTAGAACACAACTGACAGCAAGTTGGGGGTATCTGAACATGAGAAAGTCTCTACCCAGTCTGGATGCTGGAAGCTCTTTCTGCTTCCCTCCATTCAAAGAGTTCCTACTACAATGAGCAGAAAGACATAGAAGAAAAATGCGGGCAGCAGGCACCTCACTAACCCAGTACAAAAGTGCATGCAGGACGCACACTCTTGGACTTCACTGCTTGGGGTTCATGAAGCAGAGCATAAATATCCATGATTCAGTGTAGGATCCTTATTTAATTTCAGTCTGCTGGATTTACACTAACATTTCAGGCCCCATTTCCCATCCGATCAAATATTTTATACTGTAGTCACTGTATTGGTATTCCAGAGTATTCCTATTTACCTGCATTAACATGTAGTAGATTCCAGCCATGCCGTGGGCTGCTCCAACATACTGCTTCCTGTGCCACTGATACAACAGTGGACAGCGCTCAGCCTTCCTTTCTTCCCTTGACAGGGTCTTGCCTGATTCAATAATGGCATTGACTACCTACGGAGATTACGAAGACAGCGTTAAGTATCTTGTTTTTGTCTAATTAACAACATGTCTTTACATAGATTACTTAATCCAAAAATCTGTAAGCAGTGAATAGCACCACTGTTATCTTTACTTTATAAATTAATAAATAGAGGCAGAGAGAAATCAGAAGACAATCTCAGAGTAGAAAAAGACATCAGGGAGTCAAACCAAGAAATTAAAAGTTCTTTGCGTGAACAGTTCACTGGAATCTAGAAAAACTTCCTAAAAGAACTTTCCCAGACTGCTTAGTTGCCTTGTAACTTCAATGTTTTCTCCAAAAGACCGGCCCTACATCTTCCAGGAAAGGCTGGAGGAACTGGCCTTATTTATGAACGGCTAATGAAATGCCCGCAGCATGCAGGGTTTTAGTTAAATCCAAAGAATATCATACCTGTAATGACTACATGGCAAAGACACAAACCATTTCCTCGTATCCTCTCTCCCCTCATACTTTTGGTAACGGTGCTCCAAGTTTTCGCTGGGCACCTGGGCTCTGAGCTACAGACAGACATGGTCCTCTGAACAAGTTCTGGCAGTGAAGTGTGAGCAGGAGTGAAGCAGACAACCTCTAGATTGTGGCCTTAAAAAACAAGCTGCTTTGCTGCTCAAGTAGCTTGGGTCTTGCATATAAGGGCCTGCCCCTAGGACATGGCAGAACAGGACAGAAGAACCTGGATCCTTAGCCATATTCCCAGGACTGCCTAACCAGTTCAGATACCTCATGACCAGAAATAAACATCCTATCTTTTGAGAGATGCTGTTGTTTGGTTCTAGTAAAAACAGGTGAATTAATAGTGGCCTAAGAGGACAGGTTTTTACAAAACGTACCTAGAAAGGAAAAAGAGGAGCTATTCAGTGATTTTATGACATCCCTTAAGAAATTACTGCTACCCAGAAGCAGAGTCCAGCCACTAATGCTGCTCTGTGCTGACAGGCTGGGATGGTAGACAGGAGCGCGCACCCACTGTTGCCGTCAACCCCACTGTACCTCTTTAATAGCTGACTCACACACGGTGCCCGGGCCGATCTCTGTGTTCAGGTAGAGTAAGGCATACAGATAACCTGCCCGTCCATACAGCAGCTCATCGGGAAGGTCCGAATCTCGGCACACAATCGTCTTCTGGAGCTGCAGAAGTCTACCCAACAAGAAAAATTCTGTTTTCCCGGACAGTGTCTGAGATACCTCTTCCTGAAACTGTCAATAACCCCATCACTTTAGGAATTACCTGTTACTTTAAATTTAAAACCGATTTTACAACATACTGAAAAAAAAAAAAAAAAAAAA